CCAAGGGCCAAGGAAGACGATATCGGCCGGCAAGAGCGGGCGGCGTTCAGAGGCAACCTTCGACAGCTGGGACCGCGTTAGCGGCAGGATCGAGACTGTGGAAGAGCGAGGAACATCAAACATACCAATACCAGTATCGGCCTTCTTCAGGGAGGGAGCATCATTGACACCGTCACCAGTCATGGCAACGAGGTAGCCACGCTGCTGGAGAATCTCGACGACGTTGTACTTGTGCTGGGGGAAGACCTCGGCGAAACCATCGGCAGCCTCAACGAAATCGTAGACCTCAGAGCCGGGCATGTCACCACCGCCACCGAGACCGAGACGGTCAGCGTTGAAGATGTTGGTACCGAGACCGAGCTGGCGGGAAGTCTCACGGGCAATGCCGACGGCGTCACCAGTAAGCATCTTGACGGAAAGACCAAGGTTCTTGGCCTCGTTGACGGTGCGGGCAGTGTCGTGACGAGGGGGGTCAGAGCAGGGCATGATGCCGAGAATCTCCCAGTTGCCCTCACCACGCTTGCGGGCGACACCGAGCGAACGGAAACCACGGGTAGCGAACTCAGCAACCTTGTTCTTGTAGGCCATATCGATCTCGGGGTCAAGAGGGTGGTCCTCCTCAACAGTCTTGAGAACGAAGAGAGGGGCGCCCTTCACGCAGGTGATGCGCTCACCCTGGGGAGACTGGACAACGGCGGTGACCTTCTTGGAGACGGGGTCGAAGGGGAAGAACTCGAGGACGGAGTACTTAGAGAGAACAGACTTGGCGCGGGGGTAGTAGCGGAGGGACTTGAGGAAAGCCTTGTCAATGGCATCAATACCCTTCTTCTTGCGGGAAGCGGCCAAGCAGGCAGTGAGCATGAGGTCATCGGGCTCGACGCCAGCAACGGTGTAGGGCTCAGCGAGAGAGAGCTTGTTCTTGGTCAGGGTACCGGTCTTGTCAGAGCAGAGAATCTCGACACCAGCCAGGGACTCAATGGCGGACAGCTTCTGGACGATGGCCTTCTTCTTGGCGAGGTAGGCGGCACCGACAGCCATGGTGGTGGTAACGACAGCGGGAAGACCGACGGGGACACCGACGATGAGAATAGCGAGGGTGAAGCGAAGGATCTCAACAATGTCGTTGGAGCGGTAGAAGCCAGAAACCCAGACGATGAGAAGGGTGGCAACGACGAGGATCAAGAGAACAGTACCAATGCCGTTGAGGACCTCAGTGAAGTGACCAGTACCGGCGGAGGCAGCGTTGACAAGGGCAGCGGCGCGACCGACGAAGGTGGAGTCACCGGTGGCAGTGATGACAATGAAAGCCTCACCACGCTTGACAGCAGAGGAAGCGTAGCAGTTGTCGCCCTTGTGCTTGTCGACAGCGAGGGACTCGCCAGTGATGGCAGACTGGTCAACCTGAAGGAAGGCATCGTCCGTGACAATGCGACCGTCGGCGGGAATGATGGTACCATCCTCAACCTGGAGGATGTCACCAGGGACAACCTCGTGGGCCTCAACCTCCTTGAGCTGACCGTCACGGAGGACGACAGCCTTCAGGGCAAGAGTCTTCTTGAGTTCGTCGACAATGCTGCCGGCCTGGAATTCTTGGTAGAAACCAACGACGGCGTTAAGCAGGAGAAGAGCGATAATGACACCGAAATCAACCCAATCCTCGAGACCAGCAGCGGAGGACGGGCAGCGGCTTTCCATGACGAACTGATTAGGTCCGACGAAGAACATGACTGAATGCGAATTTAGAAGACTGAGATCATTCGAACAACAGCGAGAGCCAATTGAACTTACAAACTTGAGGATGAGGTTCTCCTTCTCCTCCTTCATCTGGTTGGCACCGTACTTGCGGCGACGGTTGAGGACCTCAGCCTCGGTGAGACCAAGACGGGTGTCGGTAGCCAACTGGTCCTCAGGAATGACGCGGGCACCACCAACGGCGGTTTCTGGATCAATTGGGTTAGCTTGGAAATTGTGAGCTGGGCACTCGGCGATAACTAACCCTCTTCCTCGTCCTCCTCGATGTGACCGTCCTGGGACTCGAGGTCCTCGATCAGGGCGTCGATGTCCTCATCTTCGTCCTCCTCCTCCTCGACCTTGGGCTTGACGGGAGCGTCGACACCGGTGTCGAGAGGACGGTCCTTCTCCTCAAAGCGGTGGGACTCGATGGGAGTGTTGAGCGCCGGAGCGGCGGCTGAGTTCGACTCGGCCATGGCGAAAGATTTCGCGGTTGTATGCGTCTATAGCAATGAGGTGGTCGAATGCAGTGTAGGGGGAGTAGACTCGAAAAGCTCAAACGCTTTGGTGGTGGGGGACTCTAGGTATTTGTAGTAGGTCCGGTGGATCGAAACAGGTTCTTAAGGTTCGAGGGCTGAGCTTGCGAGCAGGGCCTAGGAATATTCGGAGATTGCTAGGTTTGTTGCGAACAACAACACGCGCTGGGTGGGGAGTGGAGAGTGTCGAGGCGACGAACGAAGAGTGGGGGAGAGGTCTATCACCGCACGAATGTGAAGAGCAAACGTAAAGGAAGCCTTCGTGGGTGAAGAGAGAAAGGGAAGGAAGGGGAGTGGGAAGGAGGAAGGAAGGCTCTTTAAAAACGAAAGCAAGAGGCAGGCGATGGACAACAAGCGGGCGGCGTGGGACTGTGAGGTGTAAGTGAGAGTGGGTACAGCTCACGGGATGGGTGCGGGTGCACGACACGAGCGGCAACAGTGAAGGGCGGAAGCAGCGATGGGCATTGGGGGGGGAGATGGATGGGGGTGGGAACGGGGGTGGGAGAGACGAGGGCACGGCGACGAGGCAGGCAAGACCGACCAGGACCAGACCAGAACCAAGCGGGACCTAGCAACAACGGAAGAGAACGAGCGTCGAGGAATACGCCGGCGATCTGTCCGGGCGTGGAAGACACAGAGGTGAGGTGAACGAGCGTCCCAGGCAAGGGAACCCACCGAGCCGAAAGCGACTTTTTTTTCCCTCTCTCACTCTGGGCTCATTCTCCAATTGACCTCAATCCCACTCTGGAGCTGGGGGAAAGGGGGGGGGGTCTGTCTCTGCAAGCCTGGGCCAGAGCCGTCTCTACGAGGTGCTACAAACGGATACCAGGCACACAAGCTCCCACGATCGGCTGAGGGCCGTCTTGGTTGGCCCAAGAAGGTACCCCAGAGTGAATGTCAGGTACCTTGGCCTGCATGCCACCCGGGTGGGTTCCACAAATTCCTCACGCCCACAGTGCCTGTGTCGTTGCCCAGGAAGCTATCGCATCGGTGCTGCCCCGAGGCAAAACAATTGCCCGCAAGTTGCCCACGAATGAGGTCAAGGGAGAACCACAGAGCGCACGTAGCTCCCGAGAAGCTCCTACGGGTCCGAGGACTGGCGAGCGCGAGGGTTCAAGCTCCAGCTGCGGCCTAGGTGAGCTTGGGGACCACGATGGCCAATGACGACGTCTGTAGTCCAGGGCCAGGGTGGGGGGGTCATGCCACCAACTCCCCACAGGGCGACACAGTGTCGGACACGGTCCAACGGCGAGAAACATTGGATCACTGCACGATCATTTCCGCGCGCATTTCAGACCAGACGTAAACATCCATGGGTCATGACTATGACAGGGCCCACCCTGACCACACACCTCTCAAAGGGTGAGCCGGCAGAAAGGCAGCGCGAGCGCGGCGCGTGGGGCTTGCGGCGTGGTGTGGAGCGTGCCCTGATGTGGGTCCCCCTGCAGTGCAGCTTTGCAGGGAGCCGGGATCTGGGATAAAGAGCAGAGGCCAGGGCCAGGGCCAGACAAGGATGGGGGAGTGCTCTGGTCGCTGGTGGATGGAGCCGCTCGCTCGCCATCGCCCCAGAGAAAAAAAAAACAAGAGACGAAGCGGCCCTGGATGAGTCGGCTGCGTTACTTGACTTGGCACACGGCGCACTGTGCTTCTCATCTGGCTGCTGCGGCTCGTTCCAAGCCTTCTAAGCCTATCGTCGACGCCGATAATGGTCCAGGCAGGCCTTTGTCGGGTGCTTTCACTAGAGTTTACGAGCGAGTTTTCTCGCGGTGAGAGGTGGCAGCCCAGTGCGAGGCAGAAGTCTCTTTTTCCGCCCATCTATCTCTTCGATGCCCGTTTTTTTTATTGTGTGCGCGATTTTACTCGTTGTATTCTTTACCCCGTGCCTACCTCCATGTCGCACGAAAACGTGTGGGTGCTTCAAGTCCATGTTTTGTATATGACGACAGCCATAGCTCGTTCTCGTCCTCGGGTCCCAAGGCAACCGGCAAGCAAGACGAACAATGGCATGCTATCCGTCCTATTCTCGCCTTTTCCTGCCCGTCGCACATCGCACTCGACAACTCCGGTCTGGCGGTCAGCAAAGCCAAGCAAGTGCCCATCCATCTCGAGGCAAGCTCCATCGTTTCGGCTTTCGTGCTCGTGTCTCCACGCTTTGTCCATCGTTCCCGTGAGCTGCACCGAAGGAGCTTCTCGAAACGGCTACTTTGTCGCTCGTCCCGAGCCAATTGGGACTTCCGATATGGTCAATTGTGACCTTTTTCGCTTTTTTTTTTCTCGCACACCAACAGGTCTCTTTTTTGAAAGACGTGGCCATTGAGGTGTTTGTTGGTTCCGACCACTAACAGCTATGCCTCATACGTACCTTAGAAAGTCCATCCTCAGAGGTAGAGGTCATCACCAACCCTTGCATCTTGACGTCTGGGGAAACACCCTCCATGTACACGGGTAACTGGACGATGGCCCATTTAATCCCTTCCACAATCATCGGTGGCAAAAGGTTGGACAGACGCCAGCCCTGCAGCAAGCCATATCAAGGGTTTCGCGGGGGCCAAGGCTTGTGCTCGCCTTGGGGGCGACAGGCCAAGAACACAGGGACCGATCGTGCACACCCCATTCGGTCATTCGCTGGACATTTGTGACTCTCAGTCGTCGTCATTCAAGTGCGCGCGTTGGACGAACAAGGTCGCACGCAGTTTTCAAGCACCAAGCGCACACGTCCCTTTTCGCACTTCGTTTCTGGCTTACATGTACATACATGTAGTACACCCTCCGTCCAAAACGCAATAAGCTTTTCCGGGCCTCACATCCCAAAACTTGGCTGTCGGTCGAGGGCGACAGCCCGGGATCTCCCATGCAGCCAGGCCCATCCCAGACTAGCGCGTGGGATTTGCCCCGATTTTGACTCTGGCAGCCAATAGGCAGTGCTGCAGCACATCGGGAAGGCGTGGGATAAATCGGGTTCATCTAAGAGTGGAAGGCGCAAGACGCTTGAAATCATCAAGACACTGTGCTTGGGGCGCATGCCTCCTTCCCCCCCTGGGCCACGCTGACTCTGGTTTCCCCCCATTCTTCTCGTCCCCGAGCAGAGCAGGATTGGGAAGTTGCGAGCAGCGAGCAGTGGGCAGCAGCCAACGGCCAGTGGACAGTAGATAGGCAGTGGATAGCACTTGCCTAGACAGTGGACCAGGTAGCCAGCGCCTGCAGGTGCGATGCATTCCCCAAACCAGAATTCCCCGAATCCCTCATTGCTCCGTGCCCCCCAAGAACCCACTTGGAGCTCGGCTGTCACCCATCGAAAGCATCCATCTACCCGTACAAACCATCCTTTTGCCCCTTCCAAACCAAATCGTCACCCTCGCGCCTTCGAAACCCCCGTTGAGGGTTCAACCAGAGACATCCAGGGCGAGCAAGACATTCGGGACCCACGGTGATGGGACCTCGGCTTTGTGACGACGGCGGCTTGCTGTTTGCAACCATTACTTGACCATTTGCAAATCAACAGCCTCACCGAACCTGTCAGGCTCCGCCGAAACAGCCAGTTTCCAGCTCCTGGCGATCAGGACCGGCTTTTCGACAAAGAACGCCTTGCGGCGACAGGCTTGCCTTAGTCGTGGCCGCTCCCGTCTGACTCTCTCATTACCGTTTGTTCTCCAATTCGCCCTCCACAACCATTCCACGAGACCAACATGATCCCTGGTACTGCTACTCCCGGGCCGCCGCCATCAAGTCTGCAAGCGATAGCCGACACACGAGTGGCCCCGTTCCTACCCTGGTCCCCAGCCTTTCGAATAGAATTGTGCATGGGGGCGGCGTGCACCCCTACCTGCAACCTACCCGCGACCTGTTACCCCCCCTTCCAACGGGCAGCTAGACAGCTCCTAGGGCGCCAGTCTCACCATCCAAAGCGTGGGCGCCTGTGTGCCCGCATGCACGGGTCCTCGATTGACCGATGCAGCGCTGTACGCGCCTCGACATGCTGTGCTGTGCTTTGTGCGGCGCCTCAGTTCGCCATCCTCAGCTGTTCTTTCGGCCAGGCCAGGCCTGCTGCAGCTCTGTCCAGAGCACCGCAACAGAGCTCCCTCCCCGCCTTGGCCCCATCTCCCAAGCCTTCCAGAAGCGGCTATGAATGTACCATCCATCAGACGCAGAGCACATAATTGCCTCGTTGTCGCACGACAAGTGGCCGCCAATGGCGCACCATGTTCTCGCCCTCTTGGTCTTCTGCTGGCTGCCCGACCCTGCGAATAGCATCAATCGTAAACAATATTGGCAGCATGGTCTGGAATTGGCTAAGGGCTGCGCTCTTCGTCGTCCAGGCCGCACAGCCGCTTCGCGCGTGACGAAATGCTCGCTGCATTGGGTTCGATGTGCCGACCACGGTCCCGTTCGCACGTCGCAATCAGGGACGCCAGGGGGTCAGCTCCATTGGTCTCCAAAAGTCGCGGCTATTACGGCCTTGTCCCTTGCTCGTTGCTCGAGCGGCCAACTACGTCAGGTCAGCGTGAGGTTTTTCTATGGGTTACGGCATACATGGTACGGCCAGCGTCGGAGGGACTCGGCCTGTCCCAGTTCGTGAGTGCGCTTGGCACGGCGATGGGGCAAAATCAATGGGCTTCATCTCTAGTCCCTCCAGCGAAGCGCCGACAAGGCTAGCAACAGTCGGTCACATTGACTGTTGTTCCTGGTGTTGTCCATCGTTGTCCTCGTCGTCGTCGCATTTGCCTCGCGTGCCCTGAGAGCGTGCTTGGACCGAGACCATCAACAATAAAACAAACAAAACTAAGAGAGTGAGTCCGTGGCATGCTCCTTCGCTGCCTTCACCTTACCCAGGGTCAAAGTACAAATTCTCAAGGGCACAAGCACAACACCAGGCGGAGCACAACAAGGACAGGCACAGGATAGCACAACACAGCACAAAACAACACAACACAGTACAGAGGAATGGGCACCTTCGGAGGTGGTTCTTGAGAGCACCTCGAGGACCCGACTCATCCGTACAACCCTTATTCGGTGCCATTGCTCATTTCGTTGCGGATCTAGCGACCACCGATAGGCAAATCACCCCGGGACACCTAGCGCTACCGGCACCTTACCAGGGCAAAAACAAACAACAAGAGTCGCAAACTCGCCGACTCTGATCTCCGACTTGTCGCCGCGATGGCCCCCGGACGTCGGTCGGGTTGTTGAATCCCAGTGCCGTGTATCCCGTCCAACTCCGTCCGTAGTATCTCGGGCCTGCCGTGTCTTGTTCGTGTACACACAGTACCGC